AACATAAAAAAATCAATATTTTAGTATCTTTTGCTAGAAATTATTTCACTTGGCTAGAAATGGCTTGCTGATCTCCTTGGTGAACTCTGCTGATCCTTACTGATCTCCCAGATGAGTCTTACATTTAAATAATATCACATGCTGTCACGCGATTAACTATGTAAGTCCTACGTTCCAAGGACTTTCTGTTTGTTTTGCACAAATATAAAACACACACATATGTTTTCGTGCGATATCTAAATGCTCTTAAATAGAATCCGATAATTATTAAATAGAATCTGATAATGAATCCGCATTTTATTTTGTTATGAATTCACACCATAACAACAAATCAAAGCAGGAATAATTATCGGATTTTGTCTAATAATATGTGAGGTGTGCTGTAATGGATCTTGGCTCGGGATTCAGAGAGCCGAGTTCAAATTCCAGTCGAGTTCACTTACGCGCAAATACCCGTGGGAAATGTATGAATCTATCTATTCTCCGCACAACAGGACAGACTGAGTCAGCTACCAGTCTACCGCAGAAAGAACTAGCAACCTACTGCAGGAAGATATGCTTCCTAGTTAATCAGGAATCGAAAGAAACATGATCGTCCAAGCGTGTATCACGTATAGCACTTAACTGATATAATAATTATCAGATTCTATTCACACACACACATATAAACTCGAGTATCTCTATCTATAAAAGGTAGGATGTGTGTGTGTGTGTGTGTGTGTGTGTGTGTGTGTGTGTGTGTGTGTGTGTGTGTGTGTGTGTGTGACGAATGCACGGCCGCAATTTTCGACGAATTTGCACCAAAATTTACATGCACATGCTCCAAGTTAGCGAGAAGGCGAAGACCGACTTTGCATTTCCCAACTCCCATCGATAGTGGAAATAATCGATTTTTTCATTTTGTACTAGACAGAGTGAGAGCCAATAGCTGGCTGCTACAAACAGGCAGGGAGATTCTATTGGCCAGCGTGAGAACCAACAGCTGACTGACACGAATGTTAACTAGCATGCTAGCATGCAAAAAATCGATAGCTGCATTCGTCACAAGTGGGAAAAATTTGAATCTACATAGCACTTTACTCCAATTGGCTCATTCGCTTACTTAAACTCAATGTTGATTCTGATTCTGCAGAACTGGGTTCGGTGTGAAAAAGTATTTGTTGTTAACATTCTTTTTTCATTCGGTTTTTCCAGTTACGAGTCCTTTTTTAAAGCTGATCGTTTTGTGTTCATTTTGTTTAGTTCTTTTTTCGTAACAGATTTAATGTTTAGTATAGAGCTTAGAAAAAATTTGCAGTGTGAGATAAGCAAGAAGTAAGGCATGTAACAACATCAGCACGGTAAAGGGCACTCCTTTAAAGGCAAGGAAGAGCAAAAAATATTTTAAGTCAAGTGATAGCGATTGCTGTATGAGTCGTACGATTTTTGAATCAAGCACGGTCAACGCTGGGCCATGCTGCTAGTAGTAATATAAATGAGAGACAACAAATCTAAGTTTATGTGTTCGAAGATTTTAAATTATAGTCTTATTGTAAAGAAATATGACAAACGCATCTAACTCATCATTTTCCTTGTTCTTCAACGGAAACTGATTTAAGGATGATTCGATCTTATTAACTCCTATACAAAAGTTAATTTTAGATTTACGAGGGTGGGCTGAAAATTTCATAGTCTGATAACGAAGCAGTAATGTTAGAGTTGTGAAATCTTGCATGCATTAACACCAACTCTTCTTATTAATAACTGCATTGTTTCTTTCCAGGTAGAATGACATCTGACTGTTTAAAGAAGACTTCAAACTAGTATCGACTTCTCTTTAAAATGGAAAAAATTTGGCATTGTGGCGTTATCGAGTAACTGCTTGAAAAGGCTTTTAGCAGCCAATGACACAAATGAGAATTGGCTGAAAAGTTGATGTGCATGTAATTAATGCGTGCAATATTTCATACCTCCAGCATCACTCTTTCATAGTCAGCCTATGAAATTTTCAGCCCATTTTCGTATATACAAATACAAGTAATCTTTGTGCGCGTGCTGTGTGTGTGTGATTTCAGAGAAATATAAACTGATCAGGCTAGTCGAGAAGCAATTTACTTAAAACTTTATCCAACACGAAAGCATTAGATGCCTGACATTTCTGTGCATTTTCACACTGTGCCTCGAGAATGGAAATTTTTTTTTTTTTTTGTTCGAAAACTTCTTCAAAAAGTCTAAATAGATAGATAGATAGATAGATAGATAGATAGATAGGGAGTGAGAAAGAAAGAGAAAGAGAATAAAGTGGTCGACACATAGAAACTTCAACCTCACACACGCACGTATTTCTATCCATCTATCTTTCAATCTATGCACACACACACACACACACACACATACAAACACACACACACACACACACACACACACACACACACACACACATATATATATATATATATATATATATAAATGTGGTGCCACATAAAATGCCGTTGTTTGTATTGTGTCTAATGTTCTATGGATTTATAATTATGGCAATCTTTTTGTAACAGACTTCAGACTGTTCAATGAAAAAATGTTTTACCTAGTTTCTACCATATTCTTCGAAGTAGTTCTTCGCTTTCTGTTTGAACATTTCATCACATGATGTAGCATCAATATTCGTCGTGTGGTCGGTTTGGGCACATTGTTTTTATTGTTCCAACTATTTTGTAATTCCATTTGTGTTTATATATATATATATATATATATATATATATATATATATATATATATAGTTTATGAAAAACTAGGTAATCCGCATGGGTAGACAAAAAGAGCAAATAATTTTTTTATATATATATATATATATATATATATATGTATGTATGTATGTATGTATGTATGTATGTATGTATGTATGTATGTATGTGTATATATATATATATATATACACACATACATATGTATATATATATATATATATATATATACACACATATATATATACATATATATATATATATATATATATACATACATACATATATATATATATATATATATATACACACACACACATATATATATATACATATATATATATATATATATATATATATATATATATATATATATATATATATATATACTCACAGTTCTAAATACATCATATAAATAGAGTGTGAGTTTTCGTTAACAATGTCCAAGTACTTTGACACTTTATGAATAATCGCCGCTGTTTCTCGACAACGAACAAAAGCAATAACACGCAGTTAGCATTGCCAGAGACAATTATATTTCATGTCAATTTCATCTCCGGAATATACGCGCGCAATTAAACAGATATAAATTAGAAAATTAACGACAAAGAAAAGCAAAATAAATATTTCTTCATCATCCAAAGATGCGGCGACAGTAAACCAATTTAAGTTGCATTTGTTTTCTTATCTTCCTTTCATTTGTCCTGGAAGACATTTTTAAAATGTACATAGAAGTTCGCTTATCGCCCTGTTCACGCAACTCTCCAATATTTTGAACAGGAGCAGAAGTTTGTCCTTGTTTAGTACTGTGTTTCCGGTTCCTTTCATTCTCTTTTACTCCCAGTAGCTCTTTGTGTCTTAGTGGCATTATAGCCTTGCTTGGAGTGAACTGATTTTAGGAAATGTTTTAATTTAAGCAAAGTATTAAGAAACAGGAAAATTTCGTTGAAAGCAAAGAAAAAGTACTAAACTGTTATGTAATATCGGTCCACCTCTTTGACAGTTAATGTGGAAAATCTTCTTGCAGATGAAAAATAGTCTTGATCCAACAGAAATGTAGTTCTACAGAAGGATGGTGAGAATACCATGGACTAAGCATGAAATGTGAGAGTTAATATGTATAATGAAGTGAGTAAGCGTATTAGTGTTACGAGGTGGGTGAGTTGATCAGCGTTATTAAGTGAGAGAGTCGACCAGTTTTAGGTAGTGGTTGAGTCTATCAATAGTGTTATGAAGTGAGTGACTCGACCAGTATTATGAAGTGCTTGAACAGATCAGTGTTATGAAGTGGGTGAGCGAATCAGTGTTATGAAGTGGGTGAGCCAATCAGTGTTATGAAGTGTATGATCTAATGAGTATTATGAAGTGGGTTAATCTATCAGTGCTATGAAGTGAGTTAGCTGATCAGTGTTATGAAGTGTGTGACCTAATGAGTATTATGAAGTGGGTGAGCCGATCAGTGTTATGAAGTGGGTGAGCCAATCGATGTTATGAAGTGGGTGATTCGATCAGTGTTAAAATTGGCTTAGCCGATCAGTGTTATGAAGTGTTCTGATCTAATTAGTTTTATGAAGTGGGTGAGCCTATCAGTGTTATGAAGTGGGTGAGCCTATCAATGCTATGAAGTGTGTTAGCCGGTCAGTGTTTTGAAGTGTGTGACCCAATGAGTATTATGAAGTGGTTAAGCCAATCAAAGTTACGAAGTTGGTGAGCCGACAGACTAATGAATAACACAAGACTTGAACCTTTGATTATTTAACATCATATTTTATTCAAATCCTGAATTCATCAATTATTATCGACAAGTGCAGGTGTGCGGCACCGAAACGCTCTCTCAAACGAACCTCGTCCTTATCTTCACCTGTTCTGTGAGAGATTGCCTACCTCCTTTTGGAACGACTGTTTATATATGCATTTCTCAAATAGATTTTTTTCTTACGCGTACACATATCAGACACAAGTAGGCTCACAGGTGTTTACTTCTTCGATCACCAATGATGAAAAAAATTTCAAGAAAACTGGATTTGACTCTCTGTATTAGATTAGGCGACACACTGAATATCAAAGTTCTGGAGAAATTTATATTTCTGGTGTAGTAAGCATTGTGTGTATAAAAGATACGATAATAATGATAACGGAAAGTCAACTGGCGCCTATATATACTAAAAAACTTCCTTTTTCTTTCTTTTTATTTCCTTTCTTTTTTCTTTCTTTTTTTCTTTCTTTTTTTCTTTGCTTTGTGCATATTCCTACGGCATAATATATAATTAATACTTGTTTCAAATGTAGGCATATGAACTCTCTGATCAACAGAAGGCGTACTTTTCTACAATCAAATCATTGTAAATTTTAATCCTATGGAATAAACGTTTTACAAAATGTCAGCCTACCTTGCATTTTTCTTTCGTTCCATAACATTTGTTGAAAGTATACCGTGTTTCATTGGTGACAATTACGTTCCTGCGAAAACACTGCTCTATGGAACCGACTCCCAAGAGGATGTTTCCCCGTTCACTATAATCTTAAACTGTTCAAGTCTAGGGTTAACCGTTATCTTCTCCACCTACCCGCATAAACTGTGCCTCTTACTCTGTAACCCTCTACCTCGAGTGGCTCCTGGGACTTGTACATGGTAAATATCACTGTAAAAAAATACCGAGTATTATTGATATATCCTAGATAAATAAAAACCTACCACTTCCCTGGTTTGTATATATTCTGTTTCCAATACAATAGCCTTCCTAAACTGCGTCTAGAGATTATATGCAAGTTATGAATTGGTATAAAGAGTTGCGTCTTTAATGTTAAAAATCTTATTATGATGTTGTTTAGATTCTACTCAATATTATTAACTTAGATATATAGTGATAGAGAAAACTATTGTTTTTGGTTGGAAAACATTTTGCTAAGTTAACAAAACAGACTAATTTGACTGTGAGTAGTTTATTTGCAACTATTTATTTTGATACTTTTACATTATTATACCTTGTAAAAGTAATGTAAAAAAAATAATATGAAAAGATTTTAGAACAAATTCGTCAATTTCTTAATGGAAAAACATAAAAAAAATTATTTTAAAAATAAAAGATATATTAACAAAAAATAATAAGAACCTCCTAAAATTTATTGCCCAAATGCTTCTTTCTTTTCAATAAGATTTAGCAGCCTATTGTCAACATCTGATGTTAGATTTGCAATTTTAGCGGCTGGTCAGTTGTTTGCAGCAACTTTAACTGCCTCCCAGAGTTCACACTTGCTGTTGAATTGCCTTCCATTAGAGTAAATATCTCTCTTGAGGATGCTCCACAGGTTCTCAAAGGGATTCAAGTCACAGCTATTTGAAGGCCAGTCCATAAGAGAATCTTCAACAAATCCCTTTTCTTTCAACCAGGATTTAGTAAACTTTGATGCATGACTTGGTGCGTTGTCTTGCATAAAGATCATAGATCTACGCTTGGCTAAAGACTGGTTATCACGCCATTCAAAGAAATATTGCTCTAGAAAATCACAGTACCTTTTGGAATTCATTTTAACCCCGTCTTTCAGTTTAAATGGATCCACGAGCTCATTACCAATAATCCCAGCCCATATCATGATCCCACCGCCGCCTTGTTGGCGTTTAAAAAATTTTCTTGAGTTATGTTGCTTGCAAACCCATCCTCGAGCCCATCCATCGGGCCCATCGAGTGTGATCCTTGATTCGTCTGTAAAAAGCACTTTACTGAAATTAGTTTTCATGTATTTTTTTGCCCACTGCAATCTTCTTTCCTTATGTTTTTTTTGTTAAAATGGGTTTCTTTATTTGATTTTTTACATCAGCAAACTTCCTTAATGCTTTCCACCTTGTTTCCCTTGAGACCATAGGAGCTCCAGCGGCCTCACATATGAACACACTTGACACATTTGGGTTTCTTATTAGTTCTCTTCGGATATGTGATAGATCTCGCTTTGTTAAATTCCTGAATTCAGCCTGAGACTTTTTTTTTCCCTGGTTGAATTCCCATTTGACATATTTTCTTGATTGTTCGATGATCCCTTTTCAAATCCTTAGAAATTTGAAGCGAAGACTTTCCTTTGCTAATTTCTTTGATTATATAGTTCTTTTCATTCATTGTTAGTTCTTTTTTACGAGCCATAATACTAAATTGTAGTTCTTGCAAATAATCTTTTGACACTGCAAATTGCTATAATTACTGAAAAAATACTAAACATCAATCTGAAATTGAAAATTGGGACTTAATTGCTTTCATGCTTACTCGCTATACATAATAGTACAAATTATTTCATTGGATAACACATATCTATGAATTTTACATAAAATATTTGACAATACCTCTTTTGCATATAATCTCTAGACGCAGTTTAAACAATAATTGCGAGTTCCGAAATTTTTGCCTCAGCCAATGTGTTCCATTTTCTTGTGACTTTCACTAAATTGTGCTCTCCGTCTAGTTTGGTCTTATATAAATTTCCGGGTAGACATTAACCGGGTGGTCATTTTTTACTTTAAATGTTTTCTTTACAAACACGTCTATATCATTACATCTGCAACTAAACTTTTTTCGAAAAGGAA